AAAAAAAAAAAAAAAAAAAAAAAAAGAATCCATCTTGGAAAAAAAAAAAAAAGAAAGAAAGAAAAAATTTAGCCAGGTATGCTGGTACATGCCTATAATCCCAGCTATTCAGGCAGCTGAGGCACGAGAATCGCAGGAACCTGGGAGGCGGAGGTTGCAGTGAGCTGACATTGTACTTCAGCTTGGGCAACAGAGCAAAACTCTGTCTCAAAAAAAAGACTGCTTATGAATCAGATATTTCTTAATATATTGGATATAGAATAAGTGAGCCCTCAAGGATTTTGAGACAAAGGTAAAAGATCAAATGTTTTGCCAACTTAAATTGCTGCAAAAGGCAAAGTGCCTATGTGGCAAAAGCCATTTTATTTTATTTTATTTTATTTTATTTTTTTTTGAGACCCACTTTGTAATCCCAAAGTGCTGGGATTACAGGTTTGAGCCACCATGCCCAGCCCTATTTGCATTTCTTTAATGATAAGTGGTGTTTAGTATATTTATATATATTTATTTGCCATCTGTTTCTCGTCTTCAGAGAAATATCTATTTAATCCCTTTACCCATTTTGGATTGTTTGGTTTTTTTTGTTGTTACGTTTTAGATTCTCTATATATTCTGGTTATTAATCCCTTATTAGATATATGACTTGCAAATATTTTCTCCTATTGTGCTTGGTAGTTTTTGATTCAGTGCCAGACATTGTGAATTTTACCTTCTTGGTTGCTGAATATTATTTTTTTATGAATATTCTTGAACTTTGTTCTAGGATGCAGTTAACGTACATTTTTTATTTTTTATTTTTTTTATATATATTTTTAACACAGGGTTTCACCATGTTGGTCAGGCTGGTCTTGAACTCCCGACATCAGGTGATCCACCCACCTTGGCCTCCAAAGTGCTTGGATTACAGGCGTGAGCCACCATGCCCGGCCTAACTTAGATTTAAACAGTTTGGTAACTTTGGGTCTTGCCTTTATGATTTATTAGAAAGTTTCAGAGCCGTACTCAGGCTAGGGCTAATTATTCTCCAATACTGAAACAAGACCTTCCTGAGGACTACCCAGTGCCTTGTCAATGAAGGGTTTTTCCATACTAGATGATGAGAACAAGCACTATTCCTGGCCCTCTGTAAGCACTAGGCACTTTTTTCTAACCCTTTAGTTGGTTCTTTTCCTGCCCTCAGATAGTTTCCTCTTGTTCATTTTCTTATCATCAATATTCTGCTAAACAGAGTGGGAGTCTCTGCAGATCGCTGGACTCACTTTATGTGCAAGTTCTCCTCTCCCTGGTGTTACCTTAATCTCTGTGGACTGTTCACCTAATCTCCTACTCTGTTCAGTCTACTGAGCTCTCCTTCAGATCTGTAACCCTGTGCTACAGCCTGGAAACTCTTTCAAGGCAATAGCTCACTTTGTTTTCCATCCAGTAAAGGACACGAAGAGTCAGTGTCCTTTATTACTTGGAACTAGTATCTTGAGAGCTGTTTTTTCATGTTTATTTGGATTTTTTTAGTTGTTTCAGGCAGATGTGTTAATCTGTTTTTACTCCATCTTGGCCAGAAAGAAGCAGGAGTGCCCATCAATCCTCAATGTAAAAAGGAGAAATTGAGCCAGCACAGTGGCTCATGCCTGTAAACCTACCACTTTGGGAGGCCAAGGCAGACGGAGCACCTGAGGTCAGGAGTTTGAAACCAGCCTGGCCAACATGGCGAAACCCCATCTCTACTTAAAATACAAAAATTAGCCAGGTGTAGTGGTGGGCACCTGTAATCCCAGCTACTCAGGAGGCTGAGGCAGGAGAATCACTTGAACCCAGGAGGCGGAGGTTGCGGTGAGCTGAGATCTCAGCATTGCACCCCAGCCTGGGCGACAGAGTGAGGCTCTGTCCTCTCCAAAAAAAAAAAAAAAAAAAAAAAAACCAAGAAACTTACCTTTCATATTTACTCACATTTCTCATTCTATTCTTTTTTTTTTTTTTTTTTTTTTTAACATTTCTTATCCTATAGGTGTGCTGACAGTGACTTTTCACTCAGGTTTTGTTTGCCTAACAAAGTTTTTTATTTTGCTTTGATTTTTTGAACGATAAATTTTTGCTTGACTACTGAAGTCTAAGTGGACAATTTTTTTCTGTTGAATCTTTGGGTTTATCATTTTTGTCACATTTCGCAAAAATGTGGCCATGATTTCTTCAGATACCTTAAGGTATCTGAAGAAATCTCTGCTCTTTCTGTGACATCAGTTGTAAGCATGTTAGATTTCTTGACATTATCCCACAAGTCACAGAACTCCTCTATTGGCTTTTTTCCCCAGTCTTATTTTTCCTTCTGTACTTTGAAGGATGGTTTCTACTTCTATTTGTGTGTGTAAGTAGAGACAGGGTCTCTCTATGTTGCCCAGGTTTGTTTTGAATGCCTGGCCCAAAGCAATCCTCTCACCTCAGCCTCCCAAAGTGCTGGGATTACAGGTATGAACCACCATGCTCTGCCGTGGATGCTTTTTATTTCTGTTTTTTAGTCCACTGATTTTTTTTTCCTGAAGCAATCTCATCTGCTGTTAATCTCATTCAATATATTTTGCTTTTCAAATATTTAGTGCTTCTTTTATTTCTGGAATTTACATTTACATCTTTCATCTGTCTTCATTTTCTCCATGTTTATGTCTGCATTTCATCCTGAATTATGTTTATACTTTTTATAATAGCTGCTTTAAGTCCTTGTCTGCTAATTCTATTATCTTTTTCATTTTTTAGTCCATTTCTGTGGATCGATTTTTCTCCTGGTTATGAATCATAGTTTTCTGCCCCTTTATGTGTCTGGTAATTTTTTATTGGATGCCTGTCATTGTGAAATGTAAATAGGTGATTGCTAGATTTTATTATTTTTCTCTAAATTAGAGTCTTATTGCTTCTTTTTTTTTTTTTTTTTTTTGAGACAGAGTCTTGTTCTGTTGCCAGGCGCCAGGCTGGAGTGTAATGGCACGATCTCGGCTCACTGCAACCTCTGCCTCCCGGGTTCAGGCAATTCTCCTGCCTCAGCCTCTCGGGTAGCTGGGATTACAGGCACACGCCACCATGCCCAGCTAATATTTTTGTATTTTTAGTAGAGACGGGGTTTCACCATGTTGGCCAGGATGGCCTCGATCTCTTGACCTCGTGATCCGCCCACCGCAGCCCCCCAAGGTGCTGGGATTACAGGCTTGAGCCACCGCACCCTGCCAGAATCTTATTGCTTCTTTTGAAGCTTGTTTGTCCCCTCCCATCCTCTTCTCTCCCTTCTCCTCCCCTCCCTTCCCCTCCCCTCCCTTCCCCTCCACTCCCCTCCCCTCCCCTCCCCTCCTCTCCCCTCACGCTCTTCTTTCTTTCCCTCCTGTCCCCTCCTACTCTGTTGCCCAGACTGGAGTGCAGTGGCACAATCTCCGCTTGCTGCAACCTCTGCCTCCCAGGTTCAAGCAATCCTCCTGCCTCAGCCACCCAAGTAGCTGGGATTATAAGTACATGACACCATGCCCGGCTAATTTTTGTATATTTTTTTTTTTTTTTTTTTTTTTTGAGACGGAGTTTCGCTCTTGTTACCCAGGCTGGAGTGCAATGGCGCGATCTCGGCTCACCGCAACCTCCGCCTCCTGGGTTCAGGCAATTCTCCTCCCTCAGCCTCCTGAGTAGCTGGGATTACAGGCACACACCACCATGCCCAGCTAATTTTTTGTATTTTTAGTAGAGACGGGGTTTCACCTTGTTGACCAGGATGGTCTCGATCTCTTGACCTCACGATCCACCCGCCTCGGCCTCCCAAAGTGCTGGGATTACAGGCTTGAGCCACCGCGCCCGGCAAATTTTTGTATTTTTTAAATAGAGATGGGGTTTCAGCATGTTGGCCAGTCTGGACTGATAGGTAATCTGCTTGCCTCAGCCTCCCAAAGTGCTGGGATTACAGGCATGAGCCACCGCACCTGGCTGTTTTTGTTTTTGGGGTTTTTTTTTTGATAGGGAGTCTCATTCTGTCTCCCAGACTGGAGTGCAGTGGTGCGATCTCAGCTCTTTGTAACCTCTGCCTCCTGGGTTCAAGTGATTCTCAGGCCGCAGCCTCCCAATTATCTGGGATTACAGGCGTGTACCACCACACCTGGCTAATTTTTGTGTATTTGGTAGAGATGGGCTTTCTCCATGTTGGCCAGGACCTCTCAGGTGTGAGCCACCATGCCCAGCCCTGTATATTTGTTTTGTTAGAGTGGCATCTTATTAGTCTTTACCCTATGGTTCATATATAATTTAGCCCTACTACTATCAAATGCTTTGCTTATTATGAGGTCTCTTGACTCTGGCTAGTGGAATGTGAACTACTCCTATCCCTCTGTGACTTTGGGATTTGTCTATTTACTGCTTTCTGGTAGTTCTTTCCCTACCTGCCTGGAGTTTAACCCCATGCCAGTACTCAGCCAAAGATTTGAGGTAAGGTCACGTGCGCTCTGTCTCTGAGTGTGGAGCTTTGTCCTTTCCAGCACTCTATTCTATAGTTTTGCTGCTTGACCACCCTGAACTATGATCTCTGTCTCAACAAAACTGCTACTTTTCTCTTTGGCTTCCTCCTACCGTCATTGTAGTCTGTAAACTGCCCTCATTTGAATACTTTCTCTCAGGGAAATACTTTTCTCACCTTCCTGAATTGCCTGTTGTCCAGTGCCTAAAAACAGTTCTCTTAGGCATTGACTATACCTATTACTTTAATTTTTATATCTTCTTTTTTCTTCCAGAACAATATAGCTGAAGTACAAGAATTGCATTCTGAATTAATGTGGAAAGATTTTATAGACCACATCAGTAGTCTTCTACACAGTGTAGAAGTGGAAGTCAGTTACTTTGCAGCTGGAATTATTGCGCATTTAATATCCAGAGGTGAACAAGCTTGGACATTGAGTCGTAGCCAGAGGAATTCTCTTCTGGATGATTTGGTAGGGTCATTTGATGTTTTCTGGAAGCTTACCAACAAAAGACATTCATAGTGGTTAAACTATCAAAGCCTCATAATGTAGTAAATAATGCAGTGCAAAATAAATATTGTAATCCTTTCTTATATGTCTTGTGTCTTCCAGCATTCAGCTATTTTGAAATGGCCAACTCCAGAGTGTGAGATGGTAGCATACAGGTAATTAGTATCATAATTAACAGTAAGCCGGTAACCTAGTCTAGAAATCATGCCTGGGAGTCATTGCTATTAGATGCATAATTTTTCCTTGAGGCACCTCAGTATTGGTTTTTATTTATTTATTTATATTTTTGAGACAGAGTTTCACTATCACCCAGGCTCGAGTGGCGTGATCTCAGCTCACTGCAACCTCCACCTCTCGGGTTCAAGCAATTGTCCTGCCTCAGCCTCCCGAGTAGCTGGGATTACAGGCGTCCAGTACCACACCTGGCTAATTTTGTATTTTTAGTAGAGACGATGTTTTACCATGTTGACCAGGCTGCTCTTGAACTCCTGACCTCAAGTGATCCACCTGCCTCGGCTTCCCAGAGTGCTGGGATTACAGGCATGAGCCACGACACTCAACCAAAAGTATTGGCCTTAAAAGAAGCAAAGTATTTTTCTACCATCTATCACTTTTCATTGTTTCGTTCATTCCACGTTTGTTGAAGACAAGTGCTAGGAATTTGTTATATGCTCTTAAAATTCAAAGATGAATAAGACATGGTGTCTGGACACAAGAATCTTATATCCTTATGGAGGAGATCAAATGTGGATCAGATAAAATACCATTATGCTAGATGTGCATAGAGTGTTATGAAATTAAAGATGAAGCTAAGAGTGGTAGCACATACCCGTAGTCCCAGTACTCGGAAAACTGAGGTAGGAGGCTTGCTTGAGCCCAGGAGTTTGAGGCTGCAGTGAGCTATGATTGCATTGCTGCATTGTAGCCTGGGTGACAGACAAGACTCCAACTGTAAATACACACACACACAACTTTCAGAGGAAGTGAGTTGTGAACTGAGTGTTGAAAGATAAGGAGAGGCAGGAGATTTTAGGAAGAAAAGGCATCATGTCAATGCAGGGATGTCTGAAAGGAAATGACACATTGAAGGAATTAGAAATAGCACCAGATTCCGGCCCAGTGCAGTGGCCCACACCTTTAATCCCAGCACTTTGGGAGACCAAGGTGGGCAGATCACGAGGTCAAGAGATCAAGACCATCCTGGCCAACATGGTGAAACCCCATCTCTACTAAAAAATACAAAAATTAACTGCACTTGAGAAACATTAAGTTTACCCCGCCCCCATGGCTCTTCTGTGGAGGATACCTTGTAGTTTGTAATTAGTGATAGGTTTTTTTCCCAAATAATTTTAATCCTCACTTGTGGAAACCCATGAATGATGAAGAGCTGACTATACATTTTGAAGAATGCTCTTAAAGAATCTGACAGGTTGGAGTAAATTTAAGGAGCACTGGGAGTGGACTGTAATGAATATCACTATTCTACCCAGACTTTCTCATTGAATCTTTAAGTGTACCAGAACCTGCCCTGCTCTTCTTACCTTTCATTTCCAATTGCCAGCAATTGTAGCCCTTTATTGGAGGACTGGCCTCAAGATGTTGGAATCTTCATTTCCATCACCTGTGACGGACACAAAATTACCTTGGGATTTACATCACTTGGGCATCCCTAGACCAGTTTCTGACATGTGAAGATTGTAACCTCCTTGCTTTTGGTCACAACAGCTTCGAGTTCCCCTTATATGCAAAAGTCCCTGTGATATTGAGCTGAAGCAACCATTTGCGAAAGAAACTGCCTAAGACAGAACTCTTTCTTGGGTCTTCTCTCTAGCTGAGGGTTTTCCCTCTATACCTAAAGGTTTCTTATGAGAATATTTTCCTCAGAAAGCTCATACCCAAGAGCTCATACCCATTTTTTTTTT